TTGTTGTGTTTGTTTCTATGCTTAATGCTTGCTTTGGATTGATCACCCTTTGCATGATTTAAGGTTCCATGGGTATTGGAAAATAACCTTTGAAACTAGTTCTGGAACATATGCCTAGTGGAGATTGTATCTAGGGATAGAGCTTGACTCATTAGTAGTCTTAAACCCTAGCCCGTAATGCGGGTGTAAATATTGGGTACTCAAGGGATTGATATTCAATATCCGCACCTAGGCTCTTTCTCTAAGGGATTAGGTTTGAGTAAACTTATGGGTTGACTAAGCAATGAATTCAACAAGAGATTAAGGATACATTAGTGTTACGTTTGGTGAAATCTGACCCCCACAACCTCACAATACCACAATACCATTCCTTACCTTTTCCACTCACAAAACAATATTTATTTACAGCTTTCATTCCAATAGTCACAACTTTGAATTCACTGCACAAACTATGAAATTGGAATTATTCTTTAGTCACGAATAGTCAATAAATGCTTATATTACCTTCTAATCCCTGTGGATACGATATTTTTACTACTTGAACGGCCGGTATACTTGCCGTGTTTGAGACCGTTGATAGAATTAAACGAATTTACAAATATTAACAAAAGTGTTTCAACGGAAATCTCAACAAGTTTTTGGCGCCGTTGCCGGGGATTAGCAAGGCAATTTAGTATTTATAGCTATTTGTGATTTAATCCTTTATTGCTTTTGTTATTTTTATGTTAGCAATGAATTGTTGGAGCTAACCTGTGTACTCTAGTCTTCAGCTTTCTCTTGTATGCAAGGTACTCTTCAAATTAGACTGACCAATCTTTCTGAGCGTGGTGTCAATCTCAGGTCCGGTGGAGAACGACAAGGGCTCGATGAGTGCGGAGGAGATGGCACGGTGGTCAAACCATAGCGCGATGCGGAGGCTCTCGTAATGGATCGAGAGGAGGAGGTTAGGGTTACATAGGGTGAGGTTCACGCCGGGACTTAACTTCTCGCCTCTCTTGAGGATCTTGACTTGGCCCATGACGAGGTTCCCGCCGAGGCCCTTCACCACCATGCCGGAGTGATCTCCATCGTAGACCTTCCGCCGGCGAGCGTGAGAAGGATTGGGGCTAGGGTTAGGGTTTCTTTGTGATCTAATGGAAGATGAATAGAAGGGCATTGCGTCATCGCCTTGAAGACAATCGTGGGAGCAAAGAAGAGAGGTTCCCATTGCGTCGTGGTGAGGTCTCCGTCATTGCTCGCGGCGGCTGGGTTTACATTGCTGATGAGTGAAAGGGTAGTGTGCGTTCGCAGGGTAAAAGTAGGGTCTCATTTCTACATCGGTTATAAGCAAAACCGATGTAGAATAACTCCCAAATTTCATTTTTTACATCGTTTCTCTTACTAACCGATGTAAATATGTTTATATTTTTTATTTATTTACAAGTTTGCCACCGCGTTTATGATTTACATCGGTTCTACTAGAACCGATGTAAATATGGCGATGTAAAATAGTGTTTTTGTAGTAGTGAGGAATCATGCAGAGTTCACGTATGAAAATGTTTGCATGGAAGGTGTCACACAGGGTGACATTTTTCCACTGTTCATGCTTTTCAGACGACTCAGTTCAGTTTTTCAGAGGAATCAGAATCCTACACTGTTCATGCCAGTTTTTTAAGAGTACAAAAAGTGTAAAAAAAACGTCAACAGGAGTGATGTTTTTAGTACAAAAAACGTCAATTGGGCTGACATTTTTAGTACAGAAAATGTCAGTGGAGATGACGTTTTCTGTATCAGTTCTCTCACTTGGTTTCTTACCTTTAAATAATGTCAGAGTTAGAGGAGAGAAGCAGAGAAGGAGAAACAAGAAGAGAAGGAGAAGGTGTGAAGAAGAAGTGAAGAGAAGGAGAAAGGAAGAGAAGAAAAGAGGTAATTTTAAAAATTTTGAAAGAATTATAAGTTTTTATTTCCTACACCTTTTTCGTAGTTGTTTTGTAATGAACCTGGAACGGGTCGTTCTGAAACCAGAACATGCCTTTTTGATCCCAGTTGTTGTGTGTTAAATTTGTAACTAAAACGGCCCGTTCTAGATGCAAATGTAATACACAACAAGTGAATCAGAACGGCCCATTCTAGTTTCAGTACGGCCCGTTCTGGATCCAGAACGGGCCGTTCTAGATTTAATAGGGCCCATTCTGAAACTAGAATGGCCCGTTCTGAAACCAGAATGACCTGTTCTGAAACTAGAACGACTCGTTCTGGAATGCCAACCAGAGATTGAAACTATTAAATATTATAAGGGACCAAATTAGGTGTTTTGCCATTTTTTTTGTGTTATAAAATTTAAATTATACGAAATTAAGTGTAATAATTTTTGTTTGTATGATTTTAATTGTATAATATTGATGTAGTAGTATAAGATTATTTTGTTTAGGATTTAATTGATTATTCGTTATTTAGGGGTTTACAGTATTTATTATTTAAATTTTATGTACATATTTCTTGATTTTGTATAATTTCAGAATGCCTCGTAAAAAGGTTAATCCAGGACCCATTGATGATTCTTTACTGACTATGCAATCAATTCACGTGTCTGAGCACATATGGAATGGTGAGGCTGATAGAGCTCTTCGTATTAGAAGAGCTACCAAAAGTGGTCATCGAGATGGGTCAATTCCCAATGAATTAAGATCGTATCTTGGACGAGCAGGGATGCTAGGAGTGGCAGAAATCTCATACTTTCTTATTGACCACCAGTTAATTTCAGCATTAGTTAAGAGATAGATACCAGAAACACACACTTTTCACATGACATTTGGAGAGTGTACAATTACATTGGAAGATGTTTCAGTTTTGCTAGGTCTAACGGTACATGGAGACCCAATTACTAGTTGTTCGACATATAGATGGGTCACACTTGATGAAGATTTGTTTGGAATAACACCACCAACAAATGCAATTAAAGGTGGAAGGCTGAAGATGAGCTGGGTTGATGAACATTTTTTTGATGTTTCGATGCATGTGCATAGTATTGAACAAATGAAACGATATACCCGAGCTTATATTTTGCGGTTGCTCGGAGGTATGCTTTTCTCTAACAAGTCTTCAACTCTAGTACCGATGCGATATTTGGTGATGTTAATAGATTTAGACCAATGTGGGAAACTTAGTTGGGATCAGCCTTGCTTGCTCATTTATATAGAGAACTGTGTGTTGCCACTAATTATGACAATAAAGAAATTAATGGGGCATGCATTTTACTGCAATTGTGGGCATGGTATCGGATGCCGTATTTTGCACCCTTCACGGCACCACGAAATATTTTTGGTGTTTCTTTAGGTGCAAGGTAATATTTTAATTTAAATTAAGTTATTAAATATTAGATTTAACATTAGACAAATAATTTTAATTAACTTGTTAATTTTTCATATTTTTAGGTGGAATAGTGCCTTGCAGGTGACACAAAGAATTGTTGTTCAGATTCGCGATGCGTTAGATAAGATGAAAGATAAAGATGTACGTTGAGAGTTGTTACTGATTACAAATTAAAAGTGGATATCTTCAAATTAGTATTCATTTATGACCTTTTTTGTTTTTTGTTTGCAGTTTTTTTGCCAGCCATACCTTCAATATTTTCATTCTCTACCACCATATTGTGTAGAGAACACAAATATTTGAAGGGCGGTAGTGCCATTAATTGACTTTCATATTATTGAGTATCACCATGCTGACCGCGTGATGCGCCAGTTTGGCATGGTACAACACATTCCTCGTCCTCCACGTCAACTAGATAATTTGCATGATCTAACTCTATGCGGCAAAGATGACATTGATTGGCGAGTTCAGCATGCTATCTTTCTACACGAGTGGGAAACAAGGTTAGATCGTGTTTGGACACAAGAAGCTTGTATTACTACACATTTAAGTAGTAATTCAGAGTACATGGTGTGGTATAAAAGACACACCAGACGTTGGATTGGGCCTATTACTGCAAAACAAGGTTATGGGGTAAGTAACATATAACAATAAACATTTCATAATTAATTGTTTTGGTTGTTTATATTTGTGTTTTATATTAAGTTAAACATGTACAAATAACAATATTTTGATTTACAGGAGGACACTATTTAGGAAATGTATCATAAGGCTAAAACAGAACCTAAAAGCAGTTTTTCAATGTAAGAATTGACTGATAATCTTGCTAACTGTTTAGAGGTATACGGTGAATTCCATCGACTTCAGTATCCCTCTACAGGTGCTCCACCACCATAACAAGATGAGCTCAAACCAATTGTTGTGAAAGATATTGGTGCAGGGCGACAAAAGGGTCGTAGCCTTGGACGTCGACGCAGGCGTGTAGATCACCAGCCTGTAGATATATCTGTGCCATCACTTGCCCCCTACAGGTAGTTATTACGCTTATCCAATGACACCATCTGGGGGTTATAGTCAGTATATTTATACTTCAGGTGATACTAGTAGAGAAAGTCCTACTTTTGCTGCTTATGTTTCATCTCTATCTGATACATATTTACCACCTTCATCTGGTACCTATGTTCTTTCTCAAGCAACACAGACTCTAGATCCTTATACGAGCAACATGATGACCCCGTCAGCACCTTATTATTCATTTAGATATGGCGGGGATGATATGCATGGTACTTCTTTTGGAGGATCTTCTGTTCGACAACGTACTTCTATTGGACAGTCTGGTTTTGGACAACGTACTTCTATTGTATAGTCTGCTTTTCAACAACCAGGTTTTGGACAACCTACTTCTATTGGACAGTCTGCCTTAGAACAACCAAGTTTTGGACAATCGACGCCTGCTACAGAAGAAGTAGAAGAGGAGGACCCTGTAAGAAGGAACCCAGATCGGGGTGCTAGGCATCATGGTCGTTAATGTATTTTGTCACCTCATGATCTGACAGATCCACGATGGAGGCGTAGGAGATGATTAATTTGTTTATGTTATATTTTTGTTTTTTTAAGACTTTCAATTATGTAATGAATTAAAATTTTTAATTCATGTTCAGTCACTATTGTCTTTAATAGTCATGCACCAATAATTTAAAATAA